TATAATATGTAATTTTTACGTTATTCATTGAGTTTTATATGAATGCAACAATTAGTTTTTTTTTTAAAAAAAAATATTTTCTCCTTTTCATTTTCATAATTATTTAACAGGATTTATTGAACCAATAGTTTCATTACCACTAAACTATTTTATTTTGGCATCCTCTCATATATTTGACAATAATAGTAAGTATTTCAATTATCTTCATTATTATTTATTGTTATTCAACTTAAATTGGCTAACCTATTACAAATAAAGTTTGAGGCTTATCTGAACGTGGATTTTTAAACCTGTGGTTTATGATCAGTACTGCATTTTATGCACAAGATAAATAAATACTTTTAACTTCTTTACCTAAAAATATATAATATATATATATATCATTATTAAGGTGCTAAAATGCATTCTACTGCAATTCTCGCAAAGCATTGGCTACAAGATTTAATCGATAAAAATCCTCAAATTGTAATATTATATCCTGCCGTGAATGATATACTATATTATTTCAAACTACTCTTGAGCATGTGGTAAATATTCTATCTTTTTGTTCAAAATCTCTCTTTTTTTTTTTAAAAAAAAAAAAAAAGTTTAATCAATTTTTATGAAAAGATTGGCCATTATATGTACACTTTCGGTTCAGTTATAATATTCTGGTCATATTTATTCACTTATTGATATCAAATACACAAAAAAACTTAATCCAAAAGTAGATTAATCTTTGGAATATTGGCGGGCTGATTTATTCTCTTATTTTAAGAGGTGTAGCTATTGAATTTCCAAAAAGTACTATTGTTGAATTAGCCTATATTCTGATAATAGGTATTCTATTAGGAATTTATTTATTTAAAACTGGTGATTTATTGATGAAAGATAAAAGATTGGTACTCCAGTCTTATCTTATTGGGTATATTATTGGGTTTATCATAATCATTATTTGGGTGATTGCAGTTGGTGAATTTAACGATAAAAAGAGTACCGGGGTTCTAAGTAATTAGGATCTAGTGATTATTATAAAAACTTGTTATTCTAACTGAAGTTAAATCTTGAACTTTAAAAATTTGAGTGTTTTTTTAGATTAGGAATAGGATTTGGGCTAGAGTTGTTGATAAGAGTATATGAACTTTATATGTTTATATACTCAACAAAAAATAATGAATTTTAGTTTTGGTTGCCATATATATTATGTTAATCCAACAAGCGATTGATATCAAGCTATTATTTACAAATATTATATTATATAAAAATACTGTTAAAACATGATATGAGGTAGAAGGATTATAACATGTAAATATATATTGTATACAGTACAGTACTCGAGATCTTATTCAAGAACTCCAATTTAATTAATCAAACCGTAAGTATTATGCGTCATTGTGGTTAAATTAACACTCTTCAAAAATAAAGAAATTGTCTGTTATATCTATATGTATATAGACTCAAAACTTTAAAAAATATCATAATAGCTAAGTATATATGTATTACTATATAAGATGACAATATAATCAAAGTGATATGTAAAAATAAATTAAAAAATTGACATAATAATTTAATAATAATATAATAAAAATAAGTATATAAGTTCATATTAGTATTTATATATAATAAATCAATAATATATTTTTTATATGAGTCTGGGTCTAAGAGGTAGATGGTGCAGGTTTAATATTAACTTAGGGAAATTTATATCCTTTTTATATCTTTAAAGCTAATCGCTAATCATTGCAGCTAAGCATAAAATAAAAAAGTTAGTTTTTATTTTTTGAATATTAATTTCAATGTATAAAACTTTAAATTATTGTATATTATTAATAATTTTATATTTTATTTTATTTTTAATTATTTTTTAATATTATTTTTTAGATTCTATATAAATATGATATCAAGAGAAGAATCTTTTATGTCAGTCGATGATCTAAATGAAGAATCAAACTCAAATAATCAAATAAGTACTTCAGGAGTTTCTAATCCTAGATCTCCAGCTGATTCTTATTTTGAATATATTAATTCATGTTGAAAATGCAAATATTGCTTGTAAATTATTTACTTATTATTATAAATATATATATTTATTTATTTACTTATTTATTTATTTATTTTTAAAATACTATATAATATTTTAAATATTAATATATTTAATTTTTAGTATATCTTATGAAAATAGATATACATCAATATTTTTGAAATATTTAAGAAACAAGCATAAAGAAAAATTTGAAAACATATCAAGTCATAATTCTGAAGTATTGTATAATTAAATTTTTTAAATTATATTATATACAAAAATACTATTCCTAATAGATTGTTAGTACTGTTATTGATAGGGTAAGAAAAAAATTGTTTTATATACTATTTCTGATAGGGTTCTAAAAAAGAATTTCCAAAATACTATATTATGATAATAAAAAAAGTTAAAATTAGAGTTTGTTTTTAAAACTCTATTAAGAACAGTACTTAAATAATTTTTTAACTCTATCAAAATCAGTATTGCTGATCTATCAGAGATAGTATTTTGTATAATATATATCTAAATTAAATTTTTTAAAATATCAATTTTATTTTTAGTTTACAGATAATGAATTTAAAAAAAATTATGATCAAGTATTTACAACACTTGAAAATTCTGAATTTCAAGATATGTTAAATTATTTATGACCTAATCTTCAAATTCTAGCAACTAATACAATTAGAAGAGATTTAGATAAATATTATAATGAAACAAAACAACAAATTAGTTAAAAATTACAAGTAAATTATTATTAATTATAAATTAATTTTTAATTATAATACTAATTAATTTAATTTAATTTTATAGAACATTCCTAGTTTAATTTTATTTACTATAGATTGTTGGACTAGTAAAAATCAATTACCTTTTTTTGGAATTTCTATTCATTAGATCAGCAATGAATGGAATTTACAATTAATTGTTTTAGATTTTTGTTATTTACCTGGTTCACATATTGGAAAAAATTTAGCTACAAAATTTTTAGAAGTTTTAAATAATTTTAATATTAGCTCTAAGGTAATAATATTAATTTTTTTATTATTTAAAATTTTAAAAATTATTAAATTTTATTATTTTTTTAGTTATTAGCAATTATATATGATAATGCAGCTAATAATGATAAAATGCTTAGATATATTAAAGATGAATTAAATAATCAAAATATAAATTTTGATTTAAAAAATCAACATGTGAGATGTCTTGCTTACATAATTAATTTAGCAGCAAAAAAAGCTATAGATCAACTTTATATCAAATATAATTTTAATAATGATGATGAAATTTTAAAAGATAAAAATACAAATAAATTAAATAATATAATTTTTAGAATAAGTTTATTTTATTATTATTATTTATATATTAATTTAATTTTAATATTTTTATTATATTTAGTTGAAAAAATTTATTATTAAAATACGAGCATTACCACAATGATATTAAAATTTTAGTCAACAATGTATTAATATTGGACTTGAACCATTACAACTAGGGTTCAGAGCACAGGAGCATGGGGCATGCCCATAGGTATGCCTCAAGTCCAAAGAGCATGCCCTTGTCATGTGATGTTCAAAACTATTTTAATTGGCTAATAAGTTCAGATAAACAAGAACCGTAGATACTAAATCAACATGCGAGATTTTTAAGAAGTTGTAAATCACATAATTTAAAAAGGGCATGCCTATGGGTATGAGGGGTATGCTTTAGCTCAGGGGCATGCCCATATGGGCATGCCCAATTTTTTTCCTGTACCCTGAACCCTAATTACAACTTATTTCTGATAATAATACTCATTGGAATTCAACATATATAATGATTGAAAGAGCATTAAAACTTAAACAAATAATAATTTTTATTTTTTGATCTATTTATAAAAATAAATTTTTATTTTATTATTAAATTAATTAATATAATTATATTTTAATAATTTAGGCAATTCAAAATATTATACTTGTTAATAAAGAGCTTAAAATATATCAATTATCAAAAAATAACTGGAATTATCTACAAAAAATTTTTGATTTAATGAAGGTTGTATTTTTTTAACTAAAATTTATTTTATTAATATTTTAATAATTATATAATATTATATTAATTTTATTTTATTTAGTATTTTAAAAAAGGAACTGACTATATTGAAGGTCAATTATATCCAATATTTACATTTAGTATTCCAGTTTATAATTATTTGATAAATAAATTAGAAAAAATAATTGATGATAAAAAAACAGATCCAATTATAAAAAATGCTGCAAATACTGTAAAATCAAAAATTCTTGAATATTATCCATTTACTGATGAATATGTATATACAGTTGCTACTAGTAAGATGAATTTTAATTTTAATTTATTATTAAATAAATATTTTATATTAATTAATTTTTATTTAGTTTTAGATCCTAGATTAAAAATGAGATATTATGTAGATAATAAATGGGAAACTAAATATATTACAACTAAAGAAATTATTACCAATATTTGGAATAAAAATTATAAAGATAAAATTCTAAATATTTTTCAACAACAAAAAAAAAATAAAGATAATGATAATAATGATAATAATGATGATAATGATAATGATAATAATGATGATAATGATGATAATAGTGATGATGATAATGATGATGATGATATTTTTTCACATGTATATAAAAAAAGAAAAGTTAGTAGTAAAGATGAACTTGAATGTTATCTTAATGAATCTATTATTGATAATCAAGATATAAATATTCTTATATGGTGGAAGATACTATATACTTTAATTATATTAAATTTATATTTTATATTAAAATTATATTTATATTAAATTTTATTAAATAGGCTAATACAATAAGATTTCTAAATTTATCTAAGATAGCTCAAGACTATTTAGCTATTTCAGGTAAATTAAAATATTATATTAATATTTATTATAATTTAATTTTAAATTTATTTTATTTTTAGCAATGAAGTGCTCCAATTGAGAGAGTATTTTCTGGTAGAACAGATTTAGTTACACCAAAAAGAAGTAATTTGAAAAGTGAAACTATAAATATGCTTATGTGTTTTAAAAGTTGGTAGAATTCAGATATATATAATACATAAACAATTTATTATTAATTAAACAATATAATAAATAAATATTATATATAAATATATTGTATTATACAAAAATTGTTATTTGTAATTATAATTGCTTAAAAAGTAATATAATTTGCTTTAACTATAACTAATATGTTAATTTTGGAAGGTTCAACAGTAGTTAATTATAGTTAATTATTAAGTGTATAAGAACTGTAATAATAATAATCAATTAGTAAATTGAATTTAAATTCAAATATTCAATATAAAATTATAAATCAACATGACTTTTACTAATAGAAAAATATTCATTCAGCTTTGAACATTTATTTTGTTAAATATTCTCTGCCTTACAAGTTTAAAACTAATAAACCAAACAAGTTACTTGTTGTTTGTTTCACAAATAAAGATAATCTATATCTATTTACTATTTCAGCTAACATGGTTATATTCATAAACTAAAATTGATTTCTTATAATCCAACTTGCCCAACTTCAATAAAACATTTAAAATATATATAGTAAACATTATAATAAATTTGTATACCAGTTTGATATAACAACTATTTTTTTTAAATATCTTTTTAATCACAAAAAACAATTACTGTATTGTTTAGATTGGCTTTGTAAGGTTTGGGCTCGTATTTGTAATAATTTTCAAATATTGGACCTTTATTAGTAATTATTTTATTTTGGGCCCTTCTGTAATTATTTTTAATTTTTAGCTCTTATATATTAATTTTTCTAAATAAAATTTAAATAAGATAAATGTGCATGATTCTGAAATATGCGTATACATGAAACCTATTTCTAACTATAACTTTAGTATAAAAATATAATTATTAATATTAATGAATAATCATCATATGCTAAAACTAAATCTTTGATAAAAAAAAAAGATAAGTAAGATTCGAATATTCTATAAGTTTCAGACCTTTCAATTAATAACCATTATCTTACGCTAAAACTAAATCTTTGATAAAAAAAAAAGGATAAGTAAGATAAATATTCTATAAGTTTCAGACCTTTCAATTAATAACCATTATACTCACGCTAAAACTAATTCCCGATGAAAAAAAATATATATAAGATTCAAATATTCTATGAGCTTCAGAACTTTCAATTAATAACCATTATACTTATACTAAACCTAATTCTCGATAAAAAAAAATGAATAAGTAATATTCAAATATTCTATGAGCTTCAGAACTTTTAATTAATAACTATTATACTCACGCTAAATCTGATTCTCGATGAAAAAAAATACATATAAGATTCAAATATTCTATGAGCTTCAGAACTTTCAATTAATAACTATTATACTCACGCTAAAACTAATTCCTGATAAAAAAAAAAGATACATATAAGTAAGATTTAAATATTCTATAAGTTTCAAACCTTACAATTAATAATCATTATACTCACGCTAAAACTAATTCTCAATGAAAAAAAAAATGGATAAGTAAGATTCAAATATTCTATAAGTTTCAGACCTTTCAATTAATAACCATTATACTCACGCTAAAACCAATTCTCAATGAAAAAAAATATATTAGTAAGATTCAAATATTTTATAAGTTTCAGAACTTTTAATTAATAACCATTATACTCACGCTAAAACCAATTCCCAATGAAAAAAAAATATATAAATAAGATTTAAATATTCTATAAGTTTCAGACCTTTCAATGAATAATCAACATATTCATAATTCTTCAATGAAAGAAAATACATAAATAAGATTCAATTATCTATAAGTTTCAGACCTTTTAACGAATAATCAACATACTCACGCTAAAACCAATTCCCGATAAAAAAAAAAGGATAAGTAAGATTCAAATATTCTATAAGTTTCAGACCTTTCAACAAATAATCAACATACTCACACTAAAACCAATTTCCGATAAAAAAAAAATGAATAAGTAAGATTCAAATATTCTATAAGTTTCAGACCT